TTTTTTTTTTTAATCATTGTAAAGTGTAACAGAATGAACACTGTAGTGAAAGTGATTTAGAAAGCCCTGGCATTTGGGTGTGCTGCCTTGAATTGCTGTCTCCTTAAAGAGTAATTGTAAAATTGTCTGCCTGTTGTCAGGACTTGGGACATCTGTTTGCACTTTTGACAGTTCTTAATAGTAATACCAAGGATTTGGTTAATAAGGAATAAATAAGTAATAAGTAAATAGTAATAAGTACTACTAATAAGTAGTAAGCCCTTAATGAGTGCTAACTCTTAAGTTCTTTATTTCATGTAGTAGAGTTTGGGGGGTTGGTCATTGTAATAACTAGTTGGAGTAAGCAGCCACTGAAGACTGTCAAAGAGATTTTAAGGTAGTCCATAACTAGTTGACTGTTTTGAGGGGGCATGTTGTACATACACATCTATTTAGCAAGAGCTGCCAATTGCCAGGCAGGTAAAAAACTTCTGTCAGTGCTTGAAGCTGAATTAAGTACCATTCCTGCAAGTGCGTGAGCTGTGTGAGGCAGAAAAGTACTTTTCCAGAAAGATGTTCGGTGGTGGGATGGTATGTACAATTGGAAAGAAAGAAGACAAAATTCTTATCATTTAAAATAAGCACAGAAGACAAGACACCTCGAGTTGACCATCAAGACCTTTTGCTCCTGAAAATGAACTGTACCTCTAGTAGTATGTCTATGTTGCAAGATAAGAATGAGGAAAGACTGAAACTTAAAATAAGTTATTTAATACATTTTCCTCACTCACTTGCTTTTTATCTGTGTTTTTTTTTTTTTTCCCCTCCAAGCCTCTGTATGGGTTACTTCAGGCAAAGCTGCAACTCATCACACATGCGTATTTTGAAGAAAAAGACTTCTCTCAAATTTCCATTCTGAAGGTAAAGTTTAAGTCGTATTCAGACAGAGCAAAGCCTTCGGTGTATAACCACATGCTTTAATGTTTTTAGTGAGTGACTGGTTAGACACTCCATTTTTCATAGATGATTCTACTATTACAAAACTTTCTGTTTTGTCATAAAATGCACATTGACTTTCATGCTCATTCTTGCCTCTCCATTAAGTCCCTTGGTAAAACTTCCTTTTCTTCCTGAAATAACCTGAAATAAAATCCTCGAAAGAAGCCATTTTTATTTATTTGGAATTCCATGTGACCATATGCCATTAATGCATTCTCTGTTTTTTGCTCTTGTTCTAACTCTTACAGGAACTCTATGAGCATATGAATAGCTCTCTGGGAGGAACTTTGTTGGAAGGGTCACAAGTTTATCTTGGTAAGCAACGTTATTGTACAAGCAGCAGAGATAGAGTTATGTGCTAACCAACACATTTGCTTTTTGAGCTAATTTGCTTCTGTGCATTAACAAGTAAAGCACCGAAGGCTTGTGTGCCTGCACAGTATTCTGTTGAGCTTTCCTTCCTTAATGAATTTAAATAAATGTAAAGTAAATGCTATATTCCTTCTGTAATAGCACTTGGTTATAGGTTGAGAGCTATGCTGCGTTTTGCCTTGACAAGCAAGTGCTCGGCTGCTTTAGAGAAATGGCACTTTCTCAATTTTGAGGTGAAACGATTTGTTGGTATGGGGTGTTCAACCTTTCATGTACTTATGGTTTGGGAAATCTTCCATATAAGTCTAGCTTTTCTCTGTGCTTTCTGAATGCATAGTGTAGGATTTAATAATTTCCCTAGTGCTGCGCTGCAGCCAGCAGGTGTAACGGAGTCTGATGACTAACATTACTGCCTCCCTTGTAGCTTGAACTATTGCTCCTGCTCAAAAGAGAGAGAGCTTGGTATGACTTTTCCTAACAAAATAACTAGATTCACATAGAGTGCACAGTTTATTTGCTACTTGGAATCTCTCTGGTTATTAAACTGGAAGAATGACTTTCTTTTGGTTATTTCAGGTCTATCTCCTCGGGATCTTGTTCTTCACTTTAGACACAAGGTATGCTTTCCTGACTGTACGATAAAGTACAGCCGGATGATGCCTTGCACAAATTTTGTGGAATAAAATGCTTTGTGAGCAACTGAAGAATAAACCGAGTACTTGGAGTGAAGCTTTGTCATTAGGATTTCTAGTTATAAGCTTCTGCTTTCCCTTTCCCTGCTGTGTACGCACCTTCAGGAAAGATTAGTTTCCAAGGAAAAAAACATTGTCCATTTCTTGGTTTCTCTGGAGACTTATAGGTTTTAGTGGCTCTTTTTTTGAATCATATCCCAAATTGCAAATTCTCTATTCCTATTCTCTATTTCCTGCACTTTGTCAGAGGAACATGATGCGAAAATGTTGCAAATGTCCTGGCAGCCACAGCATACCCTTTTCCCTGTGTTTTGTAGCTTTTTCAGCTTCTGCCATCATAGCATATGAGGGAACTTGCTTCCCTACGTTTTCTTGATGCCTATTGAAATGCAAAGTCTTGAATTGCTTGAAATTCTAAGCTAAGTTAAAACGATATTTAGAATCGTTTCTTTTTATTAACTGGGAGGCATCAAGAAGACAAAATTGAGAAACTGGGATGATGATATATTTGCGTATCCACAGTAGATATTTATGAAGGTAGAATTAATTTTCATTTCACTTCAAACATCCCAGTTACACCCTAGAAATGTCTGTCTGTTTTCTCTGAGTGCAAAGAAAGCCTGGACAACCATCTCTGATCTAGGTTTCTAGGTCTGAAGTTGGGTGAGTGAGTACTGAATTCATGTATGTGTTTCCATGGAGGAGCTCATCTCTTCTTACACAGCTTACTGCTTTTTGAAACTCTGGAGTGATGGCATGTGTCCTTACTCGTAAATAAGCTTCGTGTGATTCAGAGTACACAGTTCTCTTTTGTGCAGTTCATTTTATTTGCACCTCAGATGCTGTTTGAAAGTTCAGGTGGATAAAGGCTATTAGGGCCCTAATTTCTACTGGGTGAATATATTTGACAGTTTAGCCAATAAAATCAGTAATCAGTATTAAACTGTGAATAAGATGAAGTTTGTACAGTATTTTTGATAAATTGCAAGGTTCACTCTCCATGTTTTTCATTTCTGTCTTTTTCAGGTCTTGATCCTTTTTAAATTGATTCTTCTAGAAAAAAAGGTAACCTTCTGCAGGCCAAGGCAGAAAATTGAAATAGAAATGTAATTGTTAGTTATCTTTCATACAAAAGATAGCAGATGAAACATTCCAGTGAAAAATAAGGATTATTTTTAAGGTACTTTTTATGCATATATACATTTGGAAACTATGCTTAACTGTTAACTCATTAACTGTTTTGAGTTAACATAAATTAGTTCTCACCTCTTCTGTACGTATTCTGCCTTACTAATAACTAGCCCAGTGAAATTTAAGTAAAATGTGTGAGTGGAGAAGCATTATGTATTATAAAAAGACAGGAGCATAATGCAAACAGGAATCTACTCTAAATCTAACTAGAAATCTAGTAAGATGTTTTTTGTAGAACATCTCTATTGATCTGTTTAAAAACTTAGTGCCAGCACTCCATCACAATAGTTCAGCACTTGGGCATACGTAAACGAAATGCTTAACTGAGATGCAATTCGTTTCTGAAGCTGTGCAAACCACAAGACATAAATGCACAGGAAGAGAGGAGAGAGCCTTTCCTAAGCATGTTCGTGTGACTCAGACAGATGAATCTGGTTTGAAAGTAACTGGATGTTTATTGAATAAAACTGTGAGTCTGTTTCGGGGTTTTGTTTTGTTTTTCCCTAAGCCATAACGGGAAGAGAACACTTGCAATTTCAAAAGGAAGAGTTTGTTTCCTGGGACTGCCTGCTTTCTGACAGATGTTAAGGTTTCAGAATAACTCTGGGAAATCTGTACATTCAAAGACCTTAAAAGCAAGAAGCTCTTTGAGCAGAAAAATGCCTGGATGCTACAGACTGATTCTGCTTTAATCCCTAGCAATTTGCTTTCCACAGGCTAAAGGAAACTTCTTTTTCACCTCTCAGCTGCTACTAAGCTGAGAGGCCACGTCCAGATGGCAATCATTTTGCTTTCTGCTGCCAGGACCACCCAATTTACTGGTGCAAATGTTGTAGACCTTATAAGAAGACAGGGAGGGCTATAGAAATGTGTACCCATACAGGTGGAAAGATGGCAGAGGCCCTCAATGGAAATAAAAAAGTATAGAAAGTTGATCGGCTTCAGTATGCAGTATAAGAAAGCTAACGTAGGTAGGCTTCTTGAAAGGGGATACTTTATAAATTTGTTTACTTCTGTAATTTTAGCTTGGAATATAAAATAATCCGAGAATCTTAAACTGAAAGGAGTCATGGGGTTTCTTTTGTAATTCCATGCTATTCCATCATGTATTTTTCAGTAACTTGTTCAGCAGCTTCTCAAAAGAAACCATACTTAATTTTTTTCAATGGGTGTCAGTGGAAATTGCTCTGTTCACATGAACAGCCTGTGTTTCTCATCAAGCTATAGGCTTTTTCTGTGGCTGTTGCAATACATCTTTTCTGCAACGCAGAGCAAAGCAAACTGTGCCGGGCGCTGTACGGGTTGCGCTCCGTTTCCAGCTGCGATTCCATTAAACACGATGCCTTAGGACCGCCTTTCTCTTGGGTCCGTCAGGGCAGGGACCCATAGACTTGGGCATCCTGGTGGATCATGAGTCGCTCATCACGTCTAACAAGTCACTCTCTAGCTTATAGCAGAGCCTTTTGTTAACTCCAAGTCCACAAACTTGCACTTCTGAATTTTGTTATTTTTCCTCTTAACTTGACCTGCACAGTCACCACGTTATGCATGATCATTCTGTATTCCTTTGTGTTGCTGACTCCTTGCAATGCTCGTATTTTTCACTAGGATCCTACTGCTTTTTACTGAGATGTTTAAAATGGCACTGTAAAACAAGTCGTTGGGTTTTGTTTTCCTGAAAGTCTGTGTTGGAGGGTCTAGCCTTTGACATCCTCCTTTGGCCTTCCTAAATAATTTACTAATCCCAGTCTCTCTAATTTAATTAAGGAGATTCTAGTTTCCCATATTATGCCCGAAGTGCTTACTGAAGTCAACATTGGTCTGTTTTTTCTATTTCCATAAAATCAGCCTTTTAATCATAGAAAGCTGTCTTTAATAAATGCATGCTGCATTTATCTTGTTCTCCAGCAATTTGCTTGTTATTAATATATTATTTTAGGAGTTTTTTTGCATAGGTTTTTTTTTTCAGAATTCTAGACTGTGATATTTTGACTTCTGACTTTCAATAGAAACAGGCCTAAATGTACGAAAAATAAGCAGTGATATATGCAGAGTTCCAGGAACACCTTTTGTCTGTCAGTCAGTGAGATTTTTTTTCTCCTGAACTTGATCCAGTCAGCATGGGATTGAGTTGTCCAACTGCAAACAAGTTATATGTGTATTTACATTTAAATATTTACTTCTAAAAATGGTTCTAAGAGCTTTTGTTGGTGAACAGGTACAAAAAGAAAGAAAATGCTTTTGACACCTTACGTGCGCTTTATCTGTCATATTTTGAACTTTTTTAACTTTTTAATTTTCTCCTCCCTCTCCTTTTTTTTTTTTTTTTTTTTTATCCTGCTCCCACCAGGTGCTGTTTTACATTTCTCCATAAAATATGGT